TGATAAGCCCAAGCCTCCAGCCTCCACCGAGTGGTCCAGGGAGCAAGCGGCTGGGTGGGTAAGAAGGTAGGTAATGGGTGTCCTGGGGGGGTTGTTCTGGCTGCCGGCGTGGCCTGTCTCTTGTAACCACAGCCACTGACGGAGCCATGCCTTCCAATCCCCTTTAGCTGAGGAACCACTCTCTGCTCTATGTGAATCTCCCGCAGAACCGCAAGACCCTTAGTGCAGTTTCTGAGTGCCCGCGCTGTCCTGGACTGGAGGATGTGACTTTTGAGGGTTGTACACTCTGCCCTGGAGGGGAGGTGGCTTTTATTAGCCCGAATCCTCCCTCCCTCCGAAGTGCTCTCAGAAAGTTGGTCCAACACCCACCTGCAGCCAATCTGAGGTACTGGAAGCAGACTCACTGGCAGCGAGGGCTACACCATCTTTGTGTGAGTCATCAAGAGCCCCTCTTCCTCTGGCGGAGCCTGGCCCACAGCTCACTTGGGAGCTGGTCATTCGAGCCGGGTGTTGGCCATTGTCTCACAAGCTGTGCGTTCTTGGAATACAAACACACCTCATTACAGGGCTCCAGGGAGGGGCTGCGGGAGCCCAAGAGGCAGGTGAGAAGCCCCCAGCCATAGCTCCGCTTCAGTTACTGTCCTTGCCTGGGTTCAGGCGAAGGACAATAGTAAAACATGGTTTCTCCAGAAAACATAAAAAGTCAATTCCATTCTGTGTGGTGGTTGTTAAAGGTTCATGTGCCTGCAGCACAGAGGGTAAAGAATCTGCCCGCAGTGCAAGAGTCCTGGGTTCGGTCCCTGGGACGCGACGAGTGTTCCTTCCTTTTGGGTGAAACAGAGCAGCTTATTCATTTTCAGTCATTGAGAGAATTCAGACAAAGTGATTCTGGTTTGATTCTGCTAACTGTGCGTGCATTTGGGTTGTTGGAGTTCCCCTGGCCGCCTTTCCAGAGGGACACAGGTGGTCTTGGAGGAGGCATTTCAATATAAAATATCCACAGGCCCGTGCTCCAATTAAGACCGTTTTACTACCAGGCTTTTTAATCACCACATGTAATTTTTTTTTAAGGTGGAAAACAGAAATAGTGGGGGAAAATATCTTCTAATGAGAATGTCACAAGAGTTACTGTATGCCATGGGGATTGAGATTTTCATAAATTACAATCCTACGCTACGTTTGGTAAGGAGCCCATGATGCAAGTCTATAAAATATATAGATGTGAAAAAGATAAGGTGAAAACTTTCACAAAACATGGTTGAAAAGGAAAAGTAAATTTCTAAACTAGATAAATGGAATGGTAACTCCTTCAACATAGTCATGAAATTATGTCACTACGGGTAGAAATAAACAGGCAAATAAAGCCCTGTTAATGATGTAAAATATATATATATAATTATGTATAATATATAGCCTAAACTTTTTCTTACTAGGAGTTTACTCTTACTTACTAGGAGTTCTACTTGAATGGCTATAATGACTTGCACTGATACTTCAAAATTTTTAAGTCTTTCATACAAAAAAGTTTGTTTTGTTTTTTTCAATTAACAAGCCTGGTTTTAAAGACAAGCTTTGGAATAAGTTTAAAACATTCAAACGTGAACACTGAGACAGAAATTCACGGGTTGTCTCTTCTCTGGACTAGAAAATGTCTATTTAATCCTTCTCTTATAAATTCATGCAGGCAATTCTTATGGGAAAACTCAGCTTATTCTTAGGGGCAGTGCTGAAAAGATTTTTTTTTTTTTACGATAATTCTAGCACTCTGAAAATATTCTTCTGATACTAGATTTTGTTACTAAGTTCCCTAAAGCCTTTGAAAAAGAATTTTGACTCAGTATGCAGTTCTTTGTCAGAACAGGCTTGATTTTCATTTCTCAGGCCCTGTCAAGGGCACAGATGTTTCCAATAGTTTTGATTACTGGGCGAGGGGCTGGAACTCCGAGCCAGAAAGAGCGTCCAGCTTCATCCCTCCGGGCCGCCCCGTCCTCGCTTCTCACCCTGCCCCCACAGCAGAACCCCCAACAGCCTAAGAAATCCCCTGCAGTGGGGAAGGAGGCCGGCACAGGCTGGTGATGCAGGGGCAGTGTCTGAAGTTGAGCTTCCCAGGGCCGAGCCGGGGTGGTGACCCGCCGGGACCACACGGCCGGCCGGGTGGATGTCCTGGGAGAGCTCAGCCAAAGGAAAGGGCCGTAGGAAGTGTGGGCTGGGGGTGCTCGGGGAGCTGGGCTCCTCACCACCGCTTGTCCACGGGTCACGTTTCCCTGGGATGGGAAACATTCCTCCTTTTTGTTACAGGGATTAACCGCTTCCATAACATGGGTTTCTTTGTGTTTTTTTTTTTTTTTTACGAGGGAAATTCTTCTCCACGCTGGGCCTCTGCCCTTAACCGTGTAACATCAGCCCCATCAATTGTTCTCAGAGAAGCAGGAAAGATTCAGCGTGGTTTTTCCAAAGAAAAGTTTGTAAACTTTTAGAAGCGGGCGGTCAGTTACTGGTAGAAATTGTCCTTTGCCGCCTAGCATAAGAGAGTTCCTTTTGTCGACATTTAAGCTTTATTTTGGACGAGTTTTGTTTTGTTTTGCTTTCTGGGGTTGTCTAGTGGACATGTGTTTCTTATTCTAACTATCTGAACTTGCTCTGGAAAGAAAGGCTTGGTTGGAGCAGGAGGGCAGCGGGGAGCACGGAGCACAGCAGAGCCGGCAGGCGGCCGCGGTCTCTGCAGGGCCGCGAGCCCGGGCGGGGGCACGGCTCCCAGCTCTGCTGGGGCCGAAGGGGACATGTCTTTCTGCCCGCCGCAGCCCCCACCCGTCGTCTTGTTCTCGTGTGCCGATGCCTAAAGGGTGCAGAAAACCGGGCACACATCACCCACCGAACACAGGCAGACTTCCCTCCCAAAGCCACAGAGGAAAAGCCCATGTTTTGTTTTGCTTTGCAAACAGTGCCTTCATTTATAGAGCAAACCTGTTTTCCCGTTTTCACTCCAGCAAGTGTGTGACCACTTGCTGGACACAGAGCCCGACCCGGGCTCTTCGGCAGCTTACCCTTAGAAGCCGAGCGCCGGCCCTAGGCCCCGGGGTCTCAGCGGTGCCTCCGACGGGCATGGGCGTGCCCTCACACACGGGGAGAGCAACACAGACCTGCCTCCTGGTGCCAAGGGCAGACACACACTCACACAAGGGGCATGGGAGGGTCACAGGAGAGCGACACAGACCTGCTTCCTCGTGCTGAGGGCAGACACAGACATGCAACCCAAGACATGGCTCATGTCAGGATGGAGGCAGCATGATTTGTTTAAGGAGAAAGTTGCTAAGGATGGTAGACACATCTGAGGAGCGACTTCTCAGAGGGACTTGACAGGGACTTAGATGAGACAAGCTGGGCGGGTAGGGCTCGAAGTGGGAGGGACGTGGACACAGGGCAGCCAGACCTGCCTCCGAAGGGGGACACGGCCGCTCGGGCTGTTAGGCACGCGGGGAGCCATGGAGCGTGCTTGGGGAGTGGGCTGGGACCCCGTGACAGGAGCTTTGAATCTTCTGCTAAGGAATGTATGTCTAAGACTTGAATAGGAGGACAGCGTATCTGAGCGTCTGGCAGCAGTGTTCAGGTGGTTTGCAAGGAGAGCCTGGATCAGGCGGCCCCTCAGGAGACCAGTGCAGAAAGCCAAGTGAAGTGAGCCGTGTGGGCGTGCAGAGGGAGGGGGCAGTCAGACAGACACCCCCGAGTCTGACAGCGTTGGGGGATGAAGGCGCAGCCGACTGTGGTACCCGGCAGGCAGCCCCGGATGAGACATGGATGTGGAGGAGGCGAGTCCCGAGTCATGTCCCAGACTCACTGCTCTGCAGAGACGGGGGACGCACCATGGGGGGTGTGGTGTGGACCCCACGTAGGGACGGGGGACACACGGGGGAGCCTGAGCCTGGGGCGGCCGGACCGGAGGGCTGGAGGGGACCGCCCAAACATGGGGCGCTGGTCATGAGACTCTTAACGTACGAGGGGCAGTGCTGAGCATGCAGGTGAGTTGTCCCCAGGGAGTGTGTGCGGTCTGGGCCAGGAAGACAGCCCACGGTCGTGAGAGGCCCTGCGCCTTATTTCCGGAGCAGAGATCATGGAGTTTGTGGGTGGGCTTCAGGGGGCCGAAGACTTAAGAGGAGTTTGGCCAGAAAACGGGAGTGAGCTGAGAGGAGAGGGGAAGGAAGAGGGGAAAGGCCTCTCAGGCCACAAGCCAGGCGGCACGTAAGCCGGTGTCCACGCGGCGTGTGGAGGGGTGTGTTGGGGGGTGGGGATGTCTCTTACATCTGTGTTGGCAGGTGGGTTCTTTACCACTAGCGCCACCTGGGGACCCCTTCACCCTAAGCTTAAAAATGAGGATATTGACCTGTAAACAAACAAGAGGTTTGAACTGTGTGGGTGCACTTATAATAGGTGCATTTCTTTCCAGTAAATACATATATGTGCTATAAATGTATTTTCTCTCCCTCATGATTTTCTTAATAATGTTTTCTTATTTTCTAGCTTTATTGTCAGAATACAGTACACAAGGCACATGGCACGCAAAATATGTGTTAGTCAGCTGTTCTTGTTATTGGTAAGGCTTCTGGTCAACAGTAGGCCTCTAGTTTGGGGGTAGTCAAAAGTTATGCACAGATTTTTTTGACTGCGCAGGGGGTCAGTACCCCAACCCCCACGTTGTTCAAGAGTCACCTGTCCGTGGTGCTCTTTGAGGAGGGGAATATGTCTCAGGCAAATATTCGGACACTCATATGAAAAACCTTGAGGTTCTGACAGTGTAACACACTGGAAAATATGTTAGAATGTGGGGGAAAAAAACCAGCTGTTCCCTTGGTTTGGAAAGGAGGTGAATTCAGGGACAGGAAACTTGAGGGCCCCCACTCGGCCAGCGTCCTGCGCCCTGACGCAGCTGGGCCTGGGCGCCAGCCTCGCCTGCTGCAGGCCCGTGGCGGGGGCGCGCTGGCTGACCTGTGCCCTATCCTCCCCAGCTGTCCGGCGGCTGCGAGCTGACCGTGGTGATCCACGACTTCACGGCCTGCAATAGCGCCGAGCTCACCATCCGCCGCGGCCAGACGGTGGAGGTCTTGGAGCGGCCCCACGACAAGCCCGACTGGTGCCTGGTGCGGACCACCGACCGGTCGCCCGCGGCCGAGGGCCTGGTCCCCTGCGGTTCCCTGTGCATCGCCCACTCCAGGAGCAGCATGGAGATGGAGGGCATCTTCAACCACAAAGGTAGGCGTTCGCGGGCACCATGACGTCCTCCCGGAAATGACAGCGCGGCTTCCGGCCGCACTTCCTGCAGCCCCGTAAGAGGTGCGTCCCTGCTGGTCACTGGCGCCCAGGCCCTTCGTCACTGCGTCCCTGGGCCTTTTTAATCCACCGGGGGCTGTGGATGTCACTTGTCACTCAGAAATAACGGTGCATCCATCGCCCCGGTTCCCCAGACCACGTTGTGAGATCCCAGGTTCGAGAAGGGGGAGGGGGCCATTCTCTTGGAAGCCAGCGTCATTCATAAACAGAGCAGACAGAAACGCAGTGTTCTCCAGGTGATGTGGGAAAGAGGTAGGAGGGGCGGGACCGCGTTCAGCGTCTCCCTAATCGGGTTTTCACATTGTGGGTTATTTTGTTTGTGTTAAATACTAGACGGTCGAGTGTGCAGGCCCTGGAAGCATAACCGTGCCTTCTTTATAGCCTGGTTAAGTGTCTAGGAGCATCTGAGACACCCCCCGCCCCCAACTTCCCTGCCTGGAGAGGGAACACAGCTGGACCCCAAGAGGGAGGCAAGCTGAGTTGGGCAGGGCTCATGTCAGGGTTCTGAAGCTCTGACAAGATGACTTGTGAAAGAAATGTTTTTCCACTGAAATAACAGGGTATTTGAACAAAACAGCGTTTGACATTGCCTGCGGACTTTGTTTAGACACAGGCAGCTGTCACAAGGCCGCTTTTCCACATGTGTCAGGACAGGTCAGTAATGACCTCCTAGCAAGTCTGTTTATCTAAACATTCAGTGCGGTCACTGCTGGACTGATGTGACTTGAAATGGGGCCTGTCTGAATTGAGCTGGTCTGCAGGTACAGAATGCACACTGGACTATAAGACTTAAAATGAAAAAAAAAGTACAATTATTTTATAGTCATTACATGCTGATATGGCAGTCTATTTTATAGGATGAATTAAAGAAAATATACTATTAAAATTAATTCCACCTGTTTCTTCTTACTACTAAATGATGGCTGCTAGAGAATTTCAACTTAATGTGCAGCGTGCACTATGTCTGTTCAATAGTGTTGCTTAATCTCTCATCTTAGGAGCTGATAGGAGATTTTTAAGAGCCTTTCAGAAACACTGGTCTTCAGTTTCTAGAAAAATTCAGCATGGGTAGTTTCTGTGCTGTGAACCACTTTATATCAGTCTCCGTTTTCTGCAGTATAGATTTGGGGTTCTGCAGCTTGTTCACCCTTCGTGAGAGAGCATCACAGTACTCCTCATGTTCCAGTTCTTTCCTGTTAGCACTGGAGTGTCCCAGCCGCTCCCTCCATTTGTCAGCTGTGCCCACTCTACCTTCACCCTGGCGCGTCCTGGAGACAGTCCTCCGGCCTCTAAGGGTTAGACACGGCGGTGAGCTAACTGGAGCTGCACAGGAAACAGCTCCTGACCCGCTCACCTTGGGGGTGAGCCTCAACCGTGCTCGGATCCCTCGGGGCCTAAATGTGACTTTATCATCACCTCAGTACCCAGCTGGAAGAATCAGGCTGTGATGTCTCCAGGGATCCAAAGAGAGAGGCAGAGAATTCTCAGGTTTGGCCCAAAGCCAAGGTGTCTGCTTTCATTTCTGGCCAAGCTGCCTGTGAGGCAGCTTTGGGCCCGCCCTGCTGCGGTTCCGGGTTCAGGCGGTGTTGGGCCCACCCCGCTGTGATGCCCCGTTCAGGGGGTGTTGGGCCCGCCCCGCTGTGTTACCACATTCGGGTGGCATTGGGCCCACCCCGCCGTGTTACTGGGTTCGGGTGACATTGGGCCCGCCCCGCTGTGTTACTGGGTTCGGGCAGCATTGGGCCCGCCCCACTGTGGTCCCTGAGCTCCGAGTTCAGGCAGTGGCCTGTGCTGGGCTACCCATTAGTGTTTCTGGGGTTGCATGACGTATTTAAAGTCTTTGAGTCTGAGTTGAAAATAAAGTCAAACTCTTTTTTCAAGTGCATCTATTATGTGCAAAGGAACCCTGGTGAACTTAAGCTACAAATAACATTGGCTCTGAAAGACTTATTTTCACCTGTACCTTTCCTGTGGTGTGTTCTTAACTTCCCAGTGTTCACAATTGCAGGCTAGCCGGGCAGAAAGAACCGTGTATTTATCACACTTGACTTTGTCCTGTGGAGGTTGGGTTTGTGCTGGTTTCTGGTGTAACTCCATTCTGTCCCCTGAGCCTTTTCTCTGATACTCTGTGTCTTCCCAGCCCCTGAGATTGACTCCTGCTTTTCACAAACCCTCTGCTTTACTAAGAACGTGTTTCTTTGTTGAGTAAAACTGGTTGTGAACTAATGGTCATTTAGCAGATTAGAGCTCAGAACCTGATCCATTTCTTCCTTCTGTCTGGATTTTTTATTTTTCCTGCCGTGTAGGGAAACTTGAGGTTGTCTGTTCCTGTACAGTGTTAGGACATGGGCGGCCAATGGGGAGGGAAGAGCCTGCCTTAGGCTCTTTGACAAGCCTCTGCCAGAGCCTCCTGTCCACGTTCAGGTCCGGGAAATCAGGCAGTGACCAGGGCCTCCATCTAGGAGAAGAGTCTTCAGCAAGTAGTCAGGGCACCAGGGCCAAGGATCCAAAAGAGCCACAGGGACTGCAGGACAAGAGGCTGCTGCCCCCTTGGAGGCCCCACAGCCGCCCTCCTCGCTGTGTATGCTGGGCTGGGGGCGCTTGTTACTCAAGGTGTCAGCATCTTGTTCTGCGCCCTTCTCACTCTGAGAGCGAGCTGGGCTTGAGGGACCTCCCTGCCCTGCCCCTGCCCCCGCCCCCGCAGGGTGGAGTTGAGTGTGGCCCCTCCTCCTGCATAGCTGGACGTCCAGCACTCTCCTGGTCTCCCCTTGGCGAGATCACACAGACGGGCTGTGCTTTCTTGTAGTCATGTACAGATGTGAGACTTGGACCGTAGAGAAGGCTGAGCACCAAAAAATTGATGCTTTCTAATTGTGGTGCTGGAGAAGACTCTTGAGAGTCCCTTGAACATCAGAGAGATCAAACCAGTCCATCCTAAGGGAAATCAACCCTGACTACTCATTGGAAGGACTGAAGCTGAAGCTGTTAATATTTTGGCCACCTGATGTGAAAGCCGACTCATTGGAAAAGACCCTGATGCTGGGAAAGATAGAGGGCAGGAAGAAGCGGGGTGACAGAAGGGTGAGAGGGTTGGATGGCAACACTGACTCAATGGACATGAGTTTGAGCAAGCTCCGAGAGATAATGAAGGACAGGGAAGCCTGGTGTGCCGCAGTCCATGAAGTTGCAGAGTCGGCATGACTGAGCGACTGAACAACAGTTTGTCTCTGCTGCTGCTGCTGCTGCGAAGTCGCTGCAGTCGTGTCCAACTCTGCGCAACCCAACAGTCGGCAGCCCGCCAGGCTCCCCGTCCCTGGGAGTCTCCAGGCAAGAACACTGGAGTGGGTTGCCATTTCCTTCTCCAAAGCATGAAAGCGAAAACTGAAAGGGAAGTCGTTCAGTCGTGTCTGACTTCTAGTGACCCCATGGACTGCAGCTTACCAGGCTCCTCCGTCCATGGGATTTTCCAGGCAAGAGGACTGGAGTGGGGTGCCATTGCCTTCTCCGTGAAATGTGCTGGACGATGGGAATCCCTGGTAGCTTAGGGCTTCCCTGGTGGCTCAGCTGGTAAAGAATCCGCCTGCAATGGGGGAGACCTGGGTTGGGAAGAGCCCCTGGAGAAGGGAACAGCTACCCACCCCAGTATTCTGGCCTGGAGAGTTGCATGGACTGTATGGTCCATGGGGTCACAAAGAGTCAGACACGGCTGAGCAACTTGCACTTCACTCACAGGCCCCTTGTACCACACTGTGTGTCCCCTGGGTGATGTAGGGGAGAACAGAATTCACTGATCTAAATGAACAATAAGAATAATTGTACAATTTGTTCTTCAAGGAGATACTTTTGTGTGTCTGCAACTAGACTCCAGTGTGCACATTATTCGTGGGAAAGGCCTGGACAGGCAAACTGCCGTGAGCAGTGTTTGCCGATGGGCGGCCCTGGAGTCACATTCTCCTCTCGCCCCAGCCACCACCCCCCATCATGGCCTCTCAGGCCCAGATGTTGCCCAGACAGCAGCCACTCTGAGCAGAGCGAGGCCTCAGTGAGTCCTTGTACTCCTCCAGCCCCCGGGTCTGTGGTTCACACCCCCTCCCAGCCCATCAGCAGCTCTGGGGCCTGGGCTCCCGGCGAGTCCACTAAGCCAGCCGCATTGAGACTCATTGGCCACCACCTCCCACCCTGTTTATGATCGTTGATTGACTGCTGATACAGGGGTCCGGGCGTTATCTCAGAAAATCTTAGAAAATCCTAGAAAACCCAGAGTTTTTTTCCTGCCCCACTGTCTCAACAGGAGAGCTGTCACTGTTCTCTGTATTTACTTAGTCCTGGCCCGGGAAGTAAACAGGAATCTCAGAAATCTGTTTATATTCCCGACAAGGCGAGCCTGGAGGGGTCAGCTGGGCTCTGCCTTCATGACCAAGCGCTGAGGGTGTGTGAGAGCTTGGCTCCAGGGCTCGGGTGAGAACCCAGTGGGCATCTGCACGGCGGGGCAGGGCCCCGGCCTGGCAGCAGTGCCCAGGAGCAGTAAAGAGAGGATGGATGACACTCAGGAGGGTTGTCTCGGTCAGGTTTCATCCATGTTTAGCTTGTGTCCAAATGTCCTTCCATGTTAAGGCTGACTCATGCTCCACCATATGGATAGGTGACGGCTTGTTATCCATTCATCTGTTGATGGACACGGGGTTGCTTCCACCTTTGGGCCGTTGTGAATAGTGCTGCTCTGTCTTGGATGCTTTGGGAAGTACACCCAGATGTGGAATTGCTGGGTCATATGATGGTGCTGTTTTTTGATTTTTGAGTATGCTCACCACATTTTGTTGTTGTTCTTGTTTTAGTCTCTAAATCATGTCTGACTCTTTGCAACCCCATGGACTGTAGCCCACCAGGCTCCTCTGTCCATGGAATTTCCCAGGCAAGAATAC